AAGAGGCAGGTCAGGTGGTCTGGTATTCCCATCTCTTTCAGAATTTTCCACAGTTTATTGTGATCCACACAGTCAAAGGCTTTGGCATAGTCAATAAAGCAGAAATAGATGTTTTTCTCAAACTCTCTTGCTTTTTCGATGATCCAACGGACATTGGCTATTTAATCTCTCATTCTTCTGCCTTTTCTAAATCCACCTTGAACATCTGCAAGTTCATGGTTCATGTACTGTTGAAGCCTGGCTTGGAGAATTTTGAGCATTACTTTACTAGTATGTGAGATGAGTGAAATTGTGTAGTAGTCTGAGCATTCTTTGGCACTGCCTTTCTTTGGGATTAGAATGAAAACTGACCTTTTCCAGTCCCGTGGCCACTGTTGCGTTTTTCAAATTTGCTGGCATGTTGAATGCAACACTTTCACAGCATCATCTTTCAGGATTTGAAATAGCTCAATGGAATTCCATCACCACTAGCTTTGTTCATAGCGATGCTTCCTAAGGCCCATTTGACTTCGCATTCCAGGATGTCTGGCTCTAGGTGAGTAATTCCACCATCCTGATTATCTGGGTTGTGAAGATCTTTTTTGTGTAGTTCTTCTGTGTATTCTTGCCACCTCTTAATATCTTCTGCTTCTTTTAGGTCCATACCATTTCTGTCCTTCATTGTGCCCATTTTGCATGAAATGTTTCCTTGGTATCCCTAATTTTCTTGAAGAGATCTCTAGTCTTTCCCATTCTATTGTTTTTCTCTATTTCTTTGCCTTGATCACTGAAGAGGGCTTTCTTATCCGTCCTTGCTATTCTTTGGAACTCTGCGTTCAAATGGGTATATCTTTCCTTCCCTCCTTTGCTTTTCACTTCTTTTCTTTTCACAGCTATTTGTAAGGCCTCCTCAGACCGCCATTTTGCTTTTTTGCATTTCTTTTTTTGGGGATGGTTTGATCCCTGTCTCCTGTACAGTGTTATGAACCTCTTTCCATAGTTTTTCAGGCACTGTTTATCAGATCTAATCCCTTGAATCTATTTCTCACTTCCACTATATAATCATAAGGGATTTGATTTAGGTCATACCTGAATGGTCTAGTGGCTTTCCTTACTTTCTTCAAGTCTGAATTTGGCAATTAGGATTTCATGATCTGAGCCATAGTCAGATCCTGGTCTTGTTTTTGCTGACTATATAGAGGTTCTCCATCTTTGGCTGCAAAGAATATAATCAATCTGATTTTGATATTGACCATCTGGTGATGTCCATGTAGAGAGTCTTCTCTTGTGTTATTGGAAGAGGGTGTTTGATATGACCAGTGTATTCTCGGCAAAACTCTCTTAGATGTACTGTTCTGTAAATCTAGATTAGACCTGCTCCTATAGCACACTATGTATCCACTTATCAAACTCTATTATAGTTGCCTATTCACTTGTCTCTATTCCCTTTTTTAGATCATAAGTACTATTAATATGAAGGTTAAAATTATACCTATTATGTTACCAATGACTTGAACATTAGCTGGCACTTGAACAAAGTAGGCACTAGGGAAGTAGTGGTTGAACGATAAATGAATAAACAAGTAAACCACCAGATTAAACATAGCACCAGTGGAAGTAGATTTTACACATGGACTTTCTTTCCCTTACTTTCTCTCTTCTCAAGAAACAAATAACAAATTAGTTACCCTTACCTCCAAATAAGCAATTGCTTACAAAGGACTAATTAGTGCATAGTTACAATGGCAGTTAAAGAGAATTCTATCTGAGCCTTCGCTTTCTTCTTCATTTTTCTCTTTCTTCCTACAAATAAAATTTTTGAACTGAAAGTTTAAGCAGATTGAAGAAAGACATGTAACTGACTTTCTCTTGATCTGCCTGATGCCCAGTCTATATTCCTAGACATCTGTAAATGTGGTAGTACATGTACAAGAGATAAAAAAGAACCTATGATAATATTTTATTTGAACCAGATCTCCAAAACATTAATTAAAGCTGAGCATACCTACTCTGAACTGAAAAATCAGAGATTTATGTGAACTTGTAAAGTTGAGGCTTTCTGACCTCTTGTAGAATTTATGTCTTCTTTAAATAAGCATTTCCTCTTTGCAATGAAGTAGTTTTTTTAAGTTTATTTTAGTGACTAAGCTTCTGGCATAAATAGATATGTTATTCAATTCCTTTATTGCCTGGTTTTCACCCTTTTTACCCATTTCTTGTCAAATATTTAACAGAAGGTTTTGGGTTAAAATAAGCAGCACTAATTATGAAGCCTAAAATTTCATCCCTGAAGTTCACTTGTTGATAAGGTGATTTAGAAAGAGAATGCATGGAGATGCATTCAATCTCCCCACTTAATCTAAGAGCATTTTGATACAGCTCTTCACATATTTGCTTACTATTTGGAAGGTATCAACTACTTTGTAGTTTATCACAAGCAGAACTTGCTAAGTTACAACTCATGCCCTATGTGTGCAGTCCTTTCAGGTAAGACAAAGTTTTTCCATCAAACAAAGGCATTCTAATTTTGAGATCTGGATACTAATACTTTAGAAAGAGAGGATTCTATTGGGTTAAATCATTCAAATTGGTTACCTTGGATAGGCTCATGCCCAGTACTGTGAGTGTCAGCAAGCCAGCACAACAGACCAAAGCACTGGAGCTGGAGAGGCCAGAACTCGGTGGGATGTTTCCATCGACCAAGCAGTTCATTCCAGTCAGGTCACTGAGACCAAAGTGTTCCTAGAATAGAAGGAAAAATAGCACTTAGTAACTCTGCTTGGATTCAAAGAGTAGCAGAAAGTTCTTTCACTCCTCAGAGAGCAAAAGCCTCACAATGGACTTATTATGCTACTTATAGAAACAACTTGTGCAATTCAATTTAGTTGAGTCCATACATGACATTTTATTTAATGGCTGTTGGCCACAGGGCACTATAATTTGAAGACTAATTTTTACTTTGTTGAACAAAAAGCTACTGATCCATTTCCTAAAATTGCTTTGAATGGTCTTTTTCATGAATATGAATTGATTTAAACAAATATGGAAAAATATTAAACAATTATAATTCACGTAGCAAGACAAGAAATACAAAATTATTAGTTAGGCAGGTTAAATCTCTATATAGCACATCCCAACACTCTGTCATTGTAAAAGTCTAACACCAAGCAGTGGTTTGTTTCTATGCAGTATTCTATGTAATACTTTTCTTCAGATAACCTTCCAACGTTTCTCATTTCTGTTTTATTTATGGAAAATCCTAGGCACGAAAAGAGTAAGAGACTTTCCCAAGATTACATATAGGGAAATGGAAGTAGGACTGAGGTCTCTGATTTCTGGTTGAGAACTTCCTCACTGCAGTCAGAAACCCGGGCCAGCATACTGTCACTGTGATTTAATGTAAGTCAGTGATATGAGGAAATCCAGATTTTTACCCAAGTTTATAGATACAATTTAACCATATGGTAGCTTTCAATACAGCCAAATTAGAATTCAGCCACAAATGAAAATGCAGACTCTTAAAGCAGGGAAACTCTATTTCTGCAAAATAGGAAAGTCCAAAAAAATAATCAGACTTTGAAATCAAGATGGAAAGCTCTAAGATACATAGATTAGTATATAGGGTGAGGACACTTAGGATGATATATCATGTCCTTTGTGGTTTGGGATTAAAAATAAATTTAAGGTCACCTCCTTCTCAAGAAAAAGTACCACCATGTTTACAGATTATTCAAAGGGTTCAAGACCAAAGTACAAAATACTATTATATTACATAATTATGCATTTCATCATACATATTATTCTAGGGAGAAATTTCAGTAAACTAGATAAAATAGCCAAAGTAACAACAAAACTCTGCAAATAAAAGACCGTTTTTTTCCTTTTTTTTAAAATCTCTTTTTCCCCTAAACTGGCAAAACTCATCCACCACAAAAGAAGAGATTTAGTTGGATGTACTTCTCTTCTTGATTTCATATGATCTAAAAATTTCCTTTCCAGAAATACATATTATAAACTGAAATATTGCTGCTGCCAATGCCCTTTCACACAGAACATCAGACAGCTTGTTTAAAAAAATCCTTGGAGAACACTATATATTTAACCATAAACTGATCCACAGGGTGTCTTGAATGTGAATCATACTTACAAACTTATCACGCAATGTTTAAATTAAAATGTACAACAGATTCAAAATGCAAATGGGTTTTGCCAAATTCAGAAATAGTGCTATCCCATAAGGATAACATGTTCAATTTAATATAAACAGATTATCCACTGGAACTTTCTAGTATTTGAATTTGAAAGTTTCTAAAAGGCTAACATTTAAATTACTTCTCTGCCAAACATTCATTACACAGACCTGCTTTTGCACGTAAGCTGTCAAATCAAAAGGGAAGGCTGTAAGACCTGAAATTCTCAAATATAACACAAGGCACATTTGTTCTTTTTGTCACTTCATCCATATGCTACAGAAGGCATGTTGCTACAAGAAAGATGAAATTGTATTTGCCAACAAATGTTTCCAAATACTGTAATTCCCACTAATGCTTGTGACAAGCCAAATGATTTGAAGATTTAAAGCCTGCCAGTACCTTTTCCTGTACGTTGTTACCATCTGTCTGGGAAAAAGCAAGGAAGGAAGAGATGGGGGCAAGGGAAGAAAGGGAGGTGGGAAGAAAGGGAGGTAGGGAGAAAGAAAGATACATACAGAACCACCATAATTAGAGTACAGGATTATACAACAGAAATAAATGTGATGCATATCTGTAATGGAATGCCACTGAATCCTACACTACTCATGACAAAGTTTCAGATAGTACCATCAGATAGTAAGGAATACAAGCTCTCTAAAACATGAATTTTAGCAAACAAATCAGATTGACTCAGCAAATCAATTTTCTTTCTTCCTTCATGGTTTTTTAATTAGGAGAGAAAGTAGGAATATTTCATCTTCTCATACATGACATTAGAGATATTCAAAGTTAGTATTCAGTGTTTCCAGGAAAATCCTTATTTTCCTTATTAAAAATCACTACATCTTTTTTTAAATCCCATCTGAAGTAGTAATAACAAAACTAAGTTAGCATTGATTGAATGCCTACTATGTGTCAAGCACTGTGTGATCCTTCCAACAACTCTTTGTTGAGATAATAATAACATATTTCACACACAGCAAATCTGAGACTTAAGGAGTTAAATTAACACAGCTGGGTAGAGTCTAGACTCAAACCCAAGGCTGTCCAGCTCTAAATTCTATTACAGTGTACACTTATACATCACTAGAACAAAATGTAAATAATACTACTAGAATGTATCTTTCAAAAGAAAATTTCAACAAAGATTTGAAAACTAGAACAAAGTATCAAATGCACTTGACTTATGAACAGCCACTATAACCCCCGATGACCATCACCCAGAAACAATCATATCTACTCTATCCCCTGAAATATGTTCACGAGCAAAACAGAGCAGAAACATCAGCACTGAAAGGAGACAAAAATGATATAGTAAATGAAATAAATCTTGATATAATACACATCATAACCTCAACTGCTAGTAGCTGCTTTATACTGATTGAACCTCAATTGCTAGTAGCTGCTTTATACTGATTTACCTGAATTCCTTTAAATCCACATAGGAAATAGTTGTGCCACAGAGGCTTGGTTTTGTCAATCTGGATGTTATTAGCACTAGTAGTGAAGTCCCTGCAAAAGCAAACAACAGTTAATTGAAGTCTAGAGGCCTTGTGCTACAGAATGGATGGCTGACTACTGCCATCTTGTGCCAGGACAATGACACTGACATTTTATTTTCCATTTGCTTCTCGTATATGTACTCCACAGTCTACCCAAAAACAACAAACATCTCCAGCTGCTAAAAATTAAGAGAAGTTTTAGTGACCTTAATAACTAAACTACTTTCAACTGGCCCTTTTTACTTCCTAAAAGGGAGAGAAATTAATATATTTTAGCATAATCTCTACCACTGTATTTCACAATGGCCCTTATTAAGTTGGTATAAACCACATAAATGCTTATCCTTATGCCTGCTGTTTGGCATACCTTTTACTAGAACACAAGTACTCAAAGCCTTCTTTTCACACTCTCTGCCACTCATCCAATTTTACCATCTGCACAGTTTAAGAAAAAGAAGGAATAAACAAAGCAAATGGTGATTTTAATGGATCATAACTCATTGAATAAAATGAGATTCCATGAATCTATATGAATATAAAATAACAAATGAATAAATAGCTAAACGAATGAGAAAAGAAAGTACTTCCTTAGAGCAAAATGAGAAGAAATAATAAAAATCAAAAAATCACTATTTGGCAAACTCCATGACAATCATTTCAGGAAGGAATCATCAATGCATGCTAAAGTTACTGAGTAAAAACTTGATGAGAAACAATATATCTACATAAACTTGAAATATTTCCTTACCAGATATTTACTGAAAAGGAAAAAACTAGTAACTTTATGGTAATCTAGCAGACAACTCCTTAGCCAAATGATCAAAATTAACGACAGTTAAAGGAACATCACGTGCCTCCTTGATACGATGCGCTGAGGACACATCAGTTGACATGTGGGAATTCTTCATACTATTTTTGTGACTTCCTTGAAAGTCAAAAGTTATTTCAAAATTAAAAATAGATAGGCTTCTAAATTAACCAAAGAATAAAATATGTGAAGTGGGAGAGGGGTGGAGATCAAATCAAAAGTGAGGAAATAAGTAACATTCCCACATTGACTGAATGCTCTTCATATATAGCTTACTAAATAACTACTATGAGCCACTCACTGCAGCAGGTGCCTTCCAAGCATTACCTTAATAACATGGACATATTATCTCCTAAGAAAAATATGGGACGACCACTTAAATCTGTGCGAGGCATTCATAGGAATATAAAAGTAAAATGTGAAAGGCTTATCTTTTAAGCCTCTGTAATCTAGCCAAGACAGCATGAGCACAAATCACACTCACAGTACCACTGTCACGTGATGGTATGTAATATGGGGTGGGATGCAAGGCCAAGAGGACATCTGTTGGGCTGTACTCCATAGGCCTGTAAATCTTGTAGCTGCCCAGGCTCGAGATCGAAGAAAGAGCCTAGAGACAGCAACAGAGATAGCAATGGTTTATTGGATCGAGTATCTTACAAGTCTGCAGCAAAACACACTGCCCCACTGTGTACGGCAGACAAAAGGCAAGACAGGGCAGTAATCTTTCTATTCAGGGAAGAAGGAGGCTACCATTTATAGGCTCATCAATTACCAGGGAAACCAGCAGCTGGGATGCGTGGCAAGCTCATGATTAAGCACTAATTAAGCTCTATGACTAGGGTACAGGTGAAGCAGGGACTGATACAGCAGGAGATGTACAGAGAGCAAGAGAATAGCCATTTTGAATGGCCTGGCCATACAACAATTTTTATAGTTAGCACACATTAGAGTATGAAGCAAGAGGCTTTCCTGGAGGCTCAAAGAGATCTAGTGACTCTCCAGGGACCTAAACAGCCTGACTCCAGCCCTCAAACATTTTACTATCACTCACAGGAATTAAAATTTATTGACTATAGTCAATAAGAGGTCCCAGAATTTGGAAAGCAGAAAAGATTATGTTAGCAAAACTGAATGGGATCTGTTCCAAGATAAGCAGATCTTGGAAGTCACCACAAAGAAAAAACAAGGAAGGAGTCTCGAGGACAAGGGTGATGGTATACTAGGGAAACTAGTAGAGGAGGAAATTTGTGCAGATGTAGGAAGTTAGATGAGAAACATCAAAGAAAAGGCTAATAAACCCTCGATCTAATTCCTTCAGACTTAGAAACATAGCTTAAAAACCACAATGTGATGCAACCACACACTTAAGAAAGTGGATAAAACATTTTAAAAAACATGTTGGTAAACATGTGGAGCAACTGGAACTCCAATACACCGATGTGCGAGTGTAAAATTGTACAACCACTTTCAAAAACAGGCAAATTCTTAAGATAAATCAGACAGTCCACTCCTGGGTATTTACCAAACAAAACATGCATCCATACATAGATTTGTACACAAATACTCATAGCAGGTCATACCTGAATGGTCTAGTGGTTTTCCTTACTTTCTTCAATTTAAGTCTGAATTTGGCAAAAAGAAGTTCATGTTCTGAGCCATAGTCAGCTCCCAGTCTTGTTTTTGCTGAGTGTATAGAGCTTCTCCATCTTTGGCGGCAAAGATTATAATCAATCTGATTTCAGTGTTGACCATGTGGTGATGTCCACGTGTAGAGTCTTCTCTTGTGTTGTTGGAAGAGGGTGTTTGCTATGACCAGTGCATTGTCTTGGCAAAACTCTGTTTGCCTTTGCCCTGCTTCGTTTTGTACTCTAAGGTCAAATTTGCCTGTTACTCCAGGTATCTCTTGACTTGCAGCTTTTGCATTCCAGGCCTCTATAATGAAAAGGACATCTTTTTTGGGTGTTAGTTCTAGAAGGTCTTGTAGGTCTTCATAGAACCGTTCAACTTCAGCTTCTTCAGCATTACGGGTCGCAGCATAGACTTGGATTACTGTGATATTGAATGGTTTGCCTTGGAAATGAACAGAGATCATTCTGCTGTTTCTGAGACTGCATCTAAGTTCTGCATTTCGGACTCTTTTGTTGACTATAATGGCTCCTCCATTTCTTCAAAGGGATTCTTGCCCACAGTAGTAGATACAATGGTCATCTGAGTTAAATTCCCCCATTCCCGTCCAGTTTAGTTCGCTGATTCCTAAAATGTCAATGTTCACTCTTGCCATCTCCTGTTTGACCACTTCCAATTTGCCTTGATTCATAGACCCAACATTCCAGGTTCCTATGCAATATTGCTCTTCACAGCATCGGATTTTACTTCCATCACCAGTCACATCCACAACTGGGTGTTGTTTTTGCTTTGGCTCTGTCTCTTCATTCTTTCTGGAGTTATTTCTCCACTGATCTCCAGTAGCATATTGGGCACCTACTGACCTGGGGAGTTCATCTTTCAGTGTCTTATCTTTTTGCCTTTTCATACTTTTCATGGGTGGCAAATAGATTCAAGGGATTATTAGATACTACAGAATGTCTGAAGAACTATTGTACAGGAGAGGCAGGGATCAAGACCATCCCCAAGAAAAAGAAATGCAAAAAGGCAAAATGGTTGTCTGAGGAGGCCTTACAAATAGCCGTGAAAAAAAGTGAAAGGCAAAGGAAAAAAGAAAAGATATACCCATTTGAATGCAGAGTTTCAAAGAATAGCAAGGAGAGATAAGAAAGCCTTCCTCAGTGATCAGTGCAAAGAAATAGAGGAAAACAATAGAATGGGAAAGACTAGAGATTTCCTCAAGAATATTAGAGATACCAAGGGAACATTTCATGCAAGGATGGGCACAATAAAGGACAGACCGGCATGGACCTAACAGAAGCAGAAGATACTAAGAAGAGGTGGCAAGAATACACAGAAGAACTACACAAAAAAGATCTTCACAACCCAGATAATCCTGATGATCACTCATCTAGAGCCAGATATCCTGGAATGCAAAGTCAAGTGGGCCTTAGGAAGCATCACTATGAACAAAGCTAGTGTGATGGAATTCCATTGAGCTATTTCAAATCCTAAAAGATGATGCTATGAAAGTGTTGCACTCAATATGNGCAGCCATGAAATTAAAAGACACTTGCTCCTTGGAAGATAAGTTATGACCAACATAGACAGCATATTAAAAAGCAGAGACATTACTTTGCCAACAAAGGTCCAACTAGCCAAAGCTATGGTTTTTCCAGTAGTCATGTTTGGATGCGAGAGTTGGACCATAAAGAAAGCTGAGCACCAAAGAACTGATGCTTTTGAACTGTGGTGTTGGAGAAGACTCTTGAGAGTCCCTTGGACTGCAAGGAGATCCCACCAGTCTATCCTAGAGGAAATCAGTCCTGAATATTCATTAGGAGGACTGATGTTGAAGTTGAAACTCCAATACTTTGGCCACTTGATGGGAAGAACTGTCTCATTTGAAAAGACCCTGATGCTGGCAAAGACTGAAAGCAGGAGGAGAAGGGACAACAGGGGATGAGACAGTTGGATGGCCTCACCGACTCAATGGACATGAGTCTGAGTAAACTCCGGGAGTTGGTGATGGACAGGGAGGCCTGACGTGCTGCATTCCATGGGGTAGCAAAGAGTCGGACACAACTGAGCGACTGAACGGAACTGAACTTATTCACGGCAGAATTATTCATAATAGCCAAAAGCTGGAAATGATCCAAATATTCATCAATGGTGAATAAAGAAATCATGGATTCTCATGCAATGCATGCTAGACAACAGGTGGACAATTATGGACGGCACGCTGCATACGTCCTAAGGGTCCAGTAGAGTGAAGCCCCTTACACAGGAGCTGCCTGCCTTGATAATTTACCTCTGCTTCCCTAGTTGAGTCTCCATCCTCTTTCACTACTGCTCTTGGCACTATTTCCCAAATGCTCTACCTCCTTCCATGTCTAACTCAGGCTCTGCTTTTATGGGGAAAAAAGTGAAATTCTCACATTTACCATGTGGGAATGTTAAGTGAATCTGAGTAAATCAATATAACAAATTATGGCACCCAGTTTTAAATGGTTACAGTGACACAAAATTGTATTTGAGTAATGTAAGATTTTCTTTAAAGGGTCCTAAATGTACATAACATCTCAATCATGCAAAATAAACAGAAAAAAAGATCTTTCACAATAACTTTCACCTAAAAGTTAGGAATTTTTATTATCTTGCATAACCTGGTACAGATACATATAAAATATTTGCTGAATGAATATTACTACAAGCAAACTGTCCAATGAACAATAAGCCAAAAATATAATGTGCCAATTACATGCCAAGACCTTTTTTTATAATTAACAAACCAGGTCCATTATAATATAAGTAAGCAGGATTTATCCCAGTAATGCAAAGAGTTCAACATTGGAAAATACATTGGTATAATTCATAATATCTTAAAACTTATCTTCAATATTGCATAAACATTCAATAAAATCTAATAATCATTAAGTAATTTTTTTTTATTTTAGTAAACCAAGAATTAAAAACCAACAACAGGGAATTCCCTGGTGGTCCAGTTGTTAGGACTTAGCACTTTCACTGCCAGGGTCAGGGTTTGATACCTGGTCAGGAACAAAGATTTCACCAGTCACGTGGTATAGCCAAAACAGTAACAACAACAACAAAAATATGCCCTTAACTTGATAAAGCATATGTACTAGAAACATATATCTACTGTGTTCCAGACTCTATGTTTGACACTGAGGCTAGAGCACTGGAGAGGTAATACTACCTGAAGTCACAGAGCTTACAATCTATGGGAATACAGGCAAGTAAGCAGATAATGATTATACAGCACGGTAAGATGTTATGATAAAAAAATGAGAGGGTGGCCTAGTAATACAAGAAAGGCATACACCTTGACTTTGCTAGAGATAGTTAAGCTCAACAGATGATACCTATCTTCTGGGCAAAGAATTATTTTCATCCTTTTTTGACCTAGTATTTAAAATAATGTCAGACACACAATAAGTCTTAAGTAAACATTTCTCAGACTTTCCAGGTGATTCAGTGGTAAAGAATCCACCTGCCAATGCAGAGACATAGGTTCAATCCCTGGGTGAAGAAGATCCCCTGGAGAAGAAAACGGCAATCCACTCTAGTATTCTTGCCTGGGAAATCCCATGGACAAAGGAGCCTGGCAAGCTACAATCCATGGTGTAGTAAAAAGTTGGACATAACTTAGTGACTAAACAACAACAACAATAAATGTTTCTTAAATAAATGAAAAAAATGAAAAAACATTAGATTAAATAGAAACAGATTCTTTTGACATCAGATACAAATTTTCAATAAATTAAATGACTTATTATAAATTTGACATTTCCTAAAGATACCATTTGAGTAGAAATACAAAGACACACACGTATACCCATGCACATACCACACATACACTAAAGCAATTCTAAATACTCACGGGTACAAGGGATTGGTATTGGCCAGCTGGAGAATATGTGTTTTCACAGGTTCCACAGCTATTAACATATCTTGTTCTACAGCCATAGGAAGAACAGAATATCCACAGTAATCTATATGCTCTCCTAGAATAAAGAGAAAGCATTTTTTAATCATTGCTGGCATATGAAACATGAGAAACTCAAGTAAGTTGACATATAAGAAAAACTTGACCACCAGCCTGGTTTTAACAGAAAATAAAAATACTAAGGGCAGAAAGTGATTCAATTTTCTTTCTCTCACTGACATCTGAACCAGGAACTTTTGCTAAAATAAGTATATTAGTTATTAGTTTCTGCTAATATTTCAACTAGCCAGTCCATCCTAAAGGAGATCAGTCCTGGGTGTTCATTGGAAGGACTGATGCTGAAGCTGAAACTCCAGTATTTTGGCCACCTATGCAAAGAGTTGATTCATTGGAAAAGACCCTAATGCTGGGAGGGATTGGGAGCAGGAGGAGAAGGGGATGACAGAGGATGAGATGGCTGGATGGCATCACCGACTCGATGGACATGAGTTTGAGTAAACTCCGGAAGTTGGTGATGGACAGGGAGGCCTGGCGTGCTGTGGTTCATGGGGTCACAAAGAGTTGGACAGGACTGAGCGACTGAACTGAACTGAATATTTCAACTTCTTTAAACATTCACAAGTTTTTTCCACTTTCTAATTCATAATAATTATCTTTGAATATTTATGTTTTGTGACTAGTTATATGGAGCAACAAGAAAGGCAATGTCTCCTTTCTCTGTTGCTCCTTTGTATTAACTTTTTCAATATGGACAATGGAAACCTTTAGCATCTTCTCTCTTATATTAATATTACATGAGTACCACTCTTTTCCTTACTAGCCAATGAGCTCACTATGGTGAAGACTTGCTTTATTTATCTTTGCAGCCCAATGAAATGCCTAACAAATTAGATAGACACTGATTAGTTGTGTTGAATGTGCTAGACATAGCTAGGATATGGAAAAGGAGGCTAGAAAAAAATATTTAATTTTATATATAATAAGCAAATAGAAAACTATTCTTTTCATTCTAATTCCTCTATGAATCATCAGCAGGAATTTTTTGCCTGCTACCCCATAATGTTTCCTACAAATTACCCATTTAAACACAAGGTTTTTATTCATAATGTTAAAAAAAATAACAATTCAAGAAAGATGAACTAAGCAAGCTCACTTATATTTTCCTGAGACAGGTTTGTATATCTGATTGTTTCTGCTGCATTGGCAGGCAGGTACTTTACCACTATTACCACCTAGGAAGCCCTATCTGATTGCTTCTATGGCAGACACTGATCAACTAAGAAACATAAAATGTACAAAAGACAATTCAACCGCCTTATTACATTTTTAAATAAATATGATCCTACATATTATTACAGGCAGAAGTCTTTTGTTTCTACAGCGATGTGTCCTGTAAAATAGGAAAATTAGGGTTGTTGTCTTTTTTAATGGATTGACAATGACGAGTGAACAATTCAAATGACAATTCAATGACAATTGAAAGTTGTCTTTCTCCCCAGCTTCCTTCAAAAATACAATATAGAACAGTGGTTCACAAATAGAAAACGCATATTTAAATAAGTAGAATTCTAGGGAGATACCAGATTCTGTTGGGAAGGCTACAGTGTGAATGACAGCCTTCTGAGAATGAAGACTTCTCCCTCTGCAAAAACTAATGGAACCCGTCCTGGGGAGCAAGAACTGTTGGCAAGTAAGGAAAACAACAATGATTACATTTTGGACACTTTAACAGAAAATATAATAATTCTTTTAATAAAGATTGAAATTCATTTCATCCCCTGTCCTATGATTTCGAGGTTCAAACCACATTTTCTTGTCTCCACCACATTCATCTCTTACTATCTTAGACATCTGCTCCTCTCTGAAGATCTTTGCATCTCATTCCACCCTCTCCATCCCAATCTTGTAAAACAACCCAGTCCAAGGCCCCAGCTTCCTAATCCCTTGACCTCTGGAGAACTTGACCTCCTCTCTGCTTCAACTATCTTACTTCCATGGTCTTGACAAATCTAGTAATGACCACAGAACTCCTTATCACCTGGAACTTTTCACCTATGGATTTTTGTTCCAAATATCACATTCTTTACTAAAACTTTCCAACGTGCCATTCTCTTATTCAGTTTATCCTACTTAACCTGTTTTTCAGATGCAGTTCTTTGCCCTCTCTAGCCTATAGGCTCCCTCTTACCTTTCTTTTTCTACCTAGCATATTTTCCAGGGTTCATTACTTCATCTAACTCTTCTGACAGTATTAGAAACTTCTTGATGTCATTGTCATTCTCTTGTAACCTCCATCCAAAACAAAACCCTAAAGCTAGATCAAATGTAAGCATCTTAGACTAGCTGAGAGGCAGCGAGGAAATGAACAAATCTGCAGACTGCTATTGCTACAATTCCATGGTCTCCAGCTCTAAACAGATCTCACTGTTACAAGCAAACTTTTTCTTTTTTTCCAGTTATCTCCCTCTCCCATCCTTGACAAAGCTGTTTCAAATTTTCAGCCATCTCTTTAAATGTCCAACACCTCCAACCTTCCCCCAAAAGAACTTCCTCAACCTTCTACACCAAAATTATACATTTATTTACATCAACCTGCATCCTTTTTTTCCCCACCTTCTGTTAAAAAAGACTCAAAGTGGCCCTTTTCCTATGCTGTAGATACCAACCCTTCTTGCCCTCTTGGGAATCCTTCTCTCTCTCTTCTTTTCTCAGATATCTTCGATCTCTTTCTCTCCACTGACTTTACTCAATTCCCCTTTTCTATCTCATTTAATCATGTTCAAATATCTCATATTTTAAAAATCCTCCATATTTTCTTGAAAATCAGCTTTCCTGAGTTAATAATTGAAGCTACATTTTGGATACATGGGAGTTCGTTATACTATTTCAACTAACTTCTTTGTATGCTTATGAAAGAATCCACCTGCAATGTGGGAGACCTGGATTTGAGCCCTGGGTTGGGCAGATCCCCTAGAGAAAGGAAAGGCTACCCACTCCAGTATTCTGGTCTGGAGAATACCATGGACTCCATGGGGTCACAAAGAGTTGGACACAACTGAGCAACTTTCACTTTCACGTATAGAAAGTTTTCTTTTTAGTCCTCCTTTAATTTGGAATTTTCTCAGTTCTCTTGATAAAACATATTCATTCTTCAGGCCACCAAATTTTTAAAAGCAAGGAATTACTGGGCTTCCCTGTATTCTTCTAATCCAATGAATAAATGTAAAACCATCAAAATCATTCACTGCAGTCAAAAAACTTAACCTGCAGCACAGAGAAATCTTTCCATCTCTCATGAAAATAACGGGAACAACCAGGTTTCAACAAACTTCTGAATTTTAAAAATGAATGGACAAAACTAACATCAATAACATGGATTGGGAAAAATGAAAATATAGTATTTTCTTATGAAAAAGCTTACCTTGCTATAGTAGATACATGCGAAACATTCTATTTTTCCAGTTCTCTTGATATATTAACAAAAATTTGGATCTTATCAAAGGAGGAAAAAATTAAGAGAAGGAACTTTTGAAATACCTATTATATTGACTCTTCCTGGTGCTCGAACATAAAACTTGGGAATGGATCCAAACTTAGAATTAAACATCTCTTTTAGCTTCAGCAATCTGAAAACAAGAGTAGCATATTTCAGAATATCCAGATAATAGAAAAACCTGTGATACACACACACACACACAAATACCACACACATATTTCATATACCTATCACCATTATTATCTTTAAAAATAATGAAAGCAAGCTATTTTACTGACACTTCTTTGAAAATCCCTGGATGAAACAATACTGTAACTCCCTAAGTGACACAAGAGTATAGCTAAGCACACAGAAGAGTAAAAAATTTAATACAGACATACACAAATAAAAACTTCTTTCCTTCAATTATGAAGAATATAACTTTTTGTGTAGTTTCTAAATGATATTCAGAGAAGAATCTCTTTACACTAAAAAATGTAGCATGGAGTAGTGTATCAGTTTCCTAGTGCTGCCACAAAAAAGTTTCACAAACTGGGTGACTTAAAATGACAGAAATTGTCTCTGAGTTCTAGAGACCAGCAGTCCAAAATCAGAGTTTGGCAGCACCTCTGAAAACCTTTGAAACCTAGATGGGAAAGTCCTTCCCTGCCTCTTTTTAGTTTCTGATGGTGACCATCAGTTCTTGGCATTCCCTGGCTGGCAGCTGCATCACTCCAATGTCTGCTTATGTTATCACATGTAATTCTCTCTGTGTGTCTCTATCTGTGACTCTGCTTTTCCTTCTTATAAAGCCATCAGACTTACTGGATGTGTGTGTGTGTGTGTGCACGCACATGTGTGCCAGTTGCTCAGTCATGTCCAACTATTTGCAACCTCATGGACTATAGCCCACCAGGCTCCTCTGTCCATGGAATTCTCCAGGAAAGAGAATTGGAAGGTTAGCCATTTCCTTCTCCAGGGGATCTTCCTGACCCAGGGATTGAACCTGGGTCTTCTGCTTTTCAATTCAATCTGACTTCATCTTAACTTTATTACATATGTAAAGATGCTAGTTCAAATAAGGTCGCATTCTGAGGTTCCAGGTAGACATGAATTAAGACGGATGCTATTCAGCCTAGTACAGTCAAATGAAAACTAGACTAGATATCACATCAAGAGACTACAATTCTAATTCCAATGGGGCTTCTACTTCAATGCTAAAGTTTGGAAAATCATTTTCCCTTGGATCCTCATCTGTAAGATTAGAAAATTTGAACTAGATATTCCTTATAGGTCCCTTCAAGATCAAAAATGCTTATATTTAATAATTTTATGCTGTTAAATCATCTCAAGTCACTTCTATGAAGACCTACCACTGTTTGTAGTCCCACAATATACTGTATCTGAGTAATAACAGCAAGACAGTAAATATCTAAAAGACCTACCATGTTCAAGACATTCATTAATTAAATACTTGATATTAAAAATTAACTAGTTACACAGAAACTATAAAACTCCTAGAGGAGAACATAGGCAAAACACTTTCCGACATAAATCACAGCAGGATCCTCTATGACCCACATCCCAGAATTTTAGAAACAAAAGCAAAAATAAACAAATGGGACCTAATGAAACTTAAAAGCTTTTGCACAACAAAGGAAACTATAAGCAAGGTGAAAAGACAGCCCTCAGATTGGNGTTGAATTTATTTTTCTTTTTTGTGTTTGTATCTATTATATATTTTCAGTTTGCTATTACCATGAGGATTTGATATAGCAGTCCATATATAATAAGGTTGTTTTAAGTTGCTGATGTTTTAATTTCAAGTGCATTTCCAATATCCTGCATTTGTGCTCCCTTATTCTCACAGTTACTGGTTTTGATATCATATTTTGCCTTTTTTTGTGCAGATGATTTCCTTTCTTACTTTGTTTTGCCTTTACTGGTAAGGTTTTCCATTCTTAATTTATTTGTCTCTAGTAGTGACCTTTTCTTTTCTAGGATTTGTTGCAGATATGGTCTGGTGGTAATGAGTTCTCTGTAAAGCTTTTGATTTCTCTGTTGCATCTGAGCTATAGTCTTCTTAGGGTATTCTTGGTTGTAGGTCCTTCCCTTTCATCACCTTGGATATATCATGCCACTCCCTTTTGGCCTGCTGAATTTCTGCTGAGATATCAGATGATAATCTTATGGGAGTTACCTTATATGTTATTTGTTGTTTTCCCCTAGTTGCTTTTAATGTTTTTCTTTGTCTTAAATATTTGTCCATTTAATTACTGTGTATCTTGGCATATTCCTCCTTGGGTTTATCTTGCCTGAGACTCTCTGCACTTCCTGTACTATACTCACTGTTTTCTTTCCCATGTTAGGGAAATTTTCAGCTATTTACATTCATTTTTCTCTCTCTTTTCCTTCTGAAACTCATATAAATGTGAATATTGGTGTGTTTAACTTTATCCCAGACTTTTAAACTGTCTTCATTTCTTTTTATTATTTTTTTTTCTTTATTCTGTTCTGCAGCAGTGGTTTCTACCATTCTTTTAGTTCCCTTAGCCATTCTGCCTCAGGTACGCTGCTGTTGCTTGCTTATAGTGGATTTTTCATTTCATCTCTTTTTGTTCTTTTGTTTTTCTAGGTCTTTTGTTAAACATTTCTTACATCTTCTTGATCTTTTTATGAGATCTTGTATCATCTTCACTTTCATTACTCTGAATTCTTTTTTGGGTAGATCACCTATCTCCATTTCACTAAGATGTTCTTCCAAGTTTTATCTTGTTCCCTCATCTGGTACATATTCTTCTGCAACTTCATTTTGTCTAATTTTCTGTGATTGTGATTTCTTTTCTATAGGCTGCAGGATTGTCGTTCTTTTTGCTTCTGATGTCTGTCCCCTTGGATAAGACTATCTGAGTCTGAGAGGCTTGCACAGGCTTCCTAGTGGGAGGATTTTGTTCCTGCCCACTGACAGGCAGAGCTGGGTCTAGTCCTTTTGGTGGGCAGGGCTGTAGTCAGAAAACCTGTGTGCTGATGGATGGGGCTGTGTTCCTGCCTTGTTGGTTGTTTTGCATGAGGTGTCCCAGCACTGGAGCCTACAGGATGTTGGCTGGTGCTAGATCTTGGGGAGGAAATGGTATTCACCAGAACTTCCACTACTAGTTTGTTTGTTTGTTTTCCCATTTTGTGGGAAATAATTATACCACCTGGCAGGTATGGAATTTGGTTTCATTGTGATTGTGATTTTGCCCCTCCTTCTGTCTTGTTGTGGCTTCTTCTTTGTCTTTGGATGTAGGGTATTTTTCGGTAGGTTCTAGGACGTTTGGAAATAGCTGTCCAGCAGTTAGTTGTGACTTTGGTGTTCTCATCAGAACGAGTGAGCACACGTCCTTCTCCACCATCTCAAGCTCTCCTGGGTCATCCAGGAAGCCAGAGCTGAGGTTTGTTTTGTTTGTCTGTTTGTTAATATTTATTTATTTATGTCTGGCTGTTCTGTGTCTTTGTTGCTTTCCACAGACTTTCTCTAGCTGCAGCAAGCAGGTGCTACTATCTGTCGTGGTGTGCAAGCTTCTCATTATGGCAGCTTCTCTTGTTGTGGAGCACAGGCTCTAGGCACATGGGCTTCAGTAGTTGCAGCATATGGACTCAGTGGTTGTGGCTCTTGGGATCTAGAGCATGGGCTCAACAGCTGTAGTACATGGGCTTAGTTGCTCTGCAGCACGTGGAATCTTCTGGGGCCAGGGATCAAACTCGTGTCCCCTGCATTGGCAGGCGGGTTCTTATCCACTGCACCACCAGGGAAGTCCCAGAGCTGATGCTATAGTGGAACTTTCATCAGCATTCTGCATCCATTCAGATGTTATCTTCTTGTATTTGTCCTACAGAGATGAAGAGTCTTTTAGTTAGTCGTTTAGATCATCTCCACTACAGATGATCATTCAAGGATATAAAGTCTTCTTCTCATTGCTTCACTATTCCAGACTGCTATAATTTTCTGCATGCACAAAATAGACAAACCACTAGCTAAGAAAATGGGGGCTAATAAAACACAAAATAAGAAATGACAAGGATGAGACAACATTAAACAAAAGAAATTTTATACGTCAAAAGAGGGACTTCCTTGGTGGTCCCGTGGCTAAGACTCCACACTCCCAATGCAGGGGGCAGGGGTTTGATTCCTGGTCAGAGAACTAGATCCTGTGTGCCACAACTAAAGATCCCACATGCTGCAAGTAAAACCTGGCATAGCCAAATAAATAAATAAATAATAAAAAAGTACTTTGTAGAAAAGCCAGGTGCTCTCTCTTTTGCCACCAACCAAACCACAGCACACCAGCTCCATCTCCTAACCACTACAACAATCTCATGCTAGTCTCTTTTCCCTATTCTCTCAAGCCACTTTTGATCAATTTGGGTGGCCTGCTCTGCCCTCCCAGAAAACCTCATTATGTGAATAATAAACTTTTCATACCTTCTTCTTCATATGGTATTACCAGTCTCAACTATTCAAACCAAATTTGCGGGTGGGGTCCATCCGGTTTCTGTGGGATAGCCGTGATAGAAATCCTACAGAAAATGGATAATTTCCTGCCGCTGCTGCTGCTGCTGCTGCTAAGTCACTTCAGTCACGTCCAACTCTGTACAATCCCATAGACGGCAGTCCGGGAAATACAATGTATAAAAACAGATCCATTTCCATAGAAGAAATAAATTCATCAAAGAATCACTGACACATATGCATTAAGCCCAGATGTTTTACAAGAGAATTCTACCCAAGCATGAACATCAGATAGCCCATATGTTCCACATGTTGTTCCAGAGCATGGAGAAATAAAGAAAAATGGTTGAATTCTTGTTATAAAGCAAGTGTAGCATGGATATCTAAACCAGATAAACACAGTCCAAGAGAAAGCAACTACAGGCTAATGTCACTTTTGAATATTAATGCAAATGTAATTAATAAAAGATTAGTAAGTATAAGGCAGTGCCACATTAAGAATATAGTTCATGTCAAGTGGAATTAACTCCAGGAATGCAAAGTTGGAAATATTAGGATAATCCATTAAAATAATATATCATATTAAATCTAAGGAGAGAAAAAAATTATAAGACTACTTTCATAGATGCTAAAAAGTCTTAAATTCATTCCCAAAGGGG